GGGTGGGTGGGAGAGTCAAGATTTAGAAAAACGATTTGTGGTCAATGGAGAGGGTTGAAGAGGATTGAGCAAGCCACTTCATCTCTCCCGCCCCCCCTTCTCTTTCGTGGCACCCCAGCGCATCCCACAACATTGATTGGAAGTAAATCCATGATAGATTAAAAAAAGAAGAAAGAGAAGCCTTCATCCTATAATCAATCGCGAACTTCACAGAATTTGCTGACAGAAGAGGCCCCGGAAGAGCCTTCCCCCCCCCGCGCCCCCTCCCAGGGCTTTTAGAAGAGAAATTGAGAGAGGACAAGCAAGGGGAGCCGACCCAGCCTGTCCGTTAAGAGTTTGCCAGGATGGTTACCTACACGCCAAACCTGAAAAATGTTCCTTTTGTGGAGAGCGGGTCTTAAGAATTCCCTGGCCAGCCTGCCTGTCGCCCCCACCTTTCGAGAGATACCTCCACCCTGGTTATATCCCTCCTTCTTCCACCCCACCGCAATCTTCCATCCCACCTCTCCCCCCACTGGGAAAATCTCCAGCTCCCGGCACCCCCGCCGGCCCTGCAAGGTTCACATCACCGCAAATAGGCTCCAGACTCTCTGATTTTGGGAGCCCAGCACGGTCAGGCCAGGTCGGTCCTTGACTGGGAGACCCTCAAGGTCAAAGGGCAGGGATCTCCTGGGAGGACCTGCCGGGCAGCGCCGGCCATACGGACCGAGGTTCCCACTCCGTAGGTCGCCGTTTGCCAAGTTGGCTCACCTCGGCATTTGGTGTTCTCCTCGGACGGCTCATAGCCGGGGGCACAGGTGCAGTCGGTGATGGTTTGCTCGGCCCACTGACCGTCCTCCCGGCAGTACATGCTCAGTGGGCGGGAGCTGACCTTGACGGCGTGGGGCACGCACTGCCCGGTGACCGGCATGACCAGTTCCTTAGGGACCGTCTCTTGGAAGAGGGTGAAGTTGATGGTGACCGAGGGGCACTTTTGGTAGAAGAGCCGGACGGAGAGGAGAGCCATGCAGGCCCCTTGGTCCTGGAACGCCAGGTAGAAGCCGGCCTTGGAGAGGGGCCCGATTTTGAGGGTCTTGATGTTGACTTTGCCGGAGGCCTCCATCCCGACCCGCTTCCGGGTCAGGTGCTCGGCGGCCACCGTGTCCACCTTCACGTAAGGGTTCTCCATCCACGGGGGGAAGGTGGCCGAGGCCAGGTCGCTGTCAGCCTCGTAGAAGAAGACGTTGAAGGTCTCCTTGCAGGCGCGGGTGACCTTCGGGATGGAGAAGCACTCCACCACCGTGAAGCGGAGCTCGGCGTAGACGTGGGTGGCCCCCGAGCGGGGGACAAAGGTGGTCCGCAGCCAGTTGTTCTGGTTGGGCTCCCGGACGCCGCACACCTCGAAGGTCCGCACGCTGTTCTGCTCCTCGTCCAGTCCGCTGAGCTCTTCCCACTGCGGGAGAGGAAGGACAGGACATTTTGAGTGGCGAGAGAATGAACACCCGGAGGTCGGTTGGGGGGGGACGTTTGGCTGTCTCGTGATCTGGCACGAAAGGACAGGGGAGTTCACAGGTAAGCACGAGGCTAAAGGATCTCGCAAGCGCCCCAATACCCCGTAAGCCCCACGCGGAGGGGGGGGCAGGGGTAGCAGCCTTTTCTTCTCCTCCCCCCAACAGAATAGCCTGGCCCCGTCTTTGCTCTCCTTCCACAAGCGGGTGAAGGCCCTTCTCTGCAGGCGAGCTTTCCCTCAGCAACCGGATGCCTAAATAGGGTTTTTAAATGGATGGTTGTGCCTTTACTGCTTCGAATGCACTTCGGTGTCGCTTATGTTTTTTTTTGTTTTTTTGGTATTGTGTTCATTCATTCATCCTTATAGTACTGTATACTCCTCACTGTTATTCGCTCAAATATTATGTTTTAATTATTGTAAGCTGCCTTGGGTCCTTCTTTTAAAGAGAAAGGTGGGTTAAAAATAGTTTTAAATAAATAAAAATAAATATTAGGTCTCCTGCAATGGAGAGCCTCCCTCTGCCCGTGGAAGCGCCGTCTTGCTGTTATGGCCGATACCCCTTTCCCTTGATCTCTCCTAAAGCATATCTCAACTGGTCTCCATTTGTGGTGTGTATGTGTGTGTGTGTGTTTGTGTGTGTGTGTGTGTGCGCGCATGCACGTGCATGCATGTGTGCCTGTTTCCAGTCCAGGAAATGCATGTGAAGGACAGGAGGTTGCCAAAAGGAGCCGCGCCCGAACTCTGGCTGGCGCCGCGCCATCCCTCTCACTTACCCGACAACCACAGAGTCAAGTCAAGCCCAAAACAAAGAACGTTTTTTAAATATACAAGTTACTTCCGTTGGTTAATTTCTAAAAAAAGGAGAATGGTGTGTGGGGGGATTTTTTGGCAGGGGGTGGGGCAAAATCATCTCAAGTTCAACCGGAAACGACACCCATATCCTGGGAAAATCTGCCATCCTGAAGGGTCAAATCAGAGGGAAAGCAATTTGGGGATAGGATCAGACCAAACACCTTTCTCACTGCAGAAGCAGTGAGACCCTTCCTTCCTTTTCCCTATCTTGATTCCTTCCTTCCTTCCTGATTTACTTATTTAACTTGTATGCTGCACCAATTCATGAGAAAACGGCTCTGGTCGGTTTACATCGAGAGAGGAACAAGCATGAAATAAAACGAATCTTAAATATGATAAGAGACAAATGTCACCTATAAACAAATAAAACCACCCTCAACTAAGTCCATGGAAAACCAAATGAGGGTGAACAGGCGGCCCCAGAAAAGAGTCAGTCCCTTACTACGTTAGGAGGGGATGCGTTCCAAGGCTTGGATGGAAGCGCCTTGCTTCGAGCATCCTCCGGAAGGCTGCCAAAGGAAGGGGCCAGGAGTCGCTCCACCGGGAGAGTCCATTCCCGAGGGATGGGGGTGGCTGGTGGTTTCTTGACCTCCCTGGGACGAGAAGGGTCTGAGAGGAGGGGGTGGCACAGGCCCACCTCCCACTAAAGGAAGCACCTTCCTTTCCAGGGGGTGGGGTGGGGTTGGAGGACACGTTTTATTCATCTCCAGCTTTTCTGGACCACAGCCCACTTCGTCGGATGCTGCAAAGGGAGTGGGTTGCGGCTGCAAAAGATGGGGGAACCTCTGAATAAATCTGGGGAACCTCTGAAGCACCCCAAGACCCTTTCCCCTTTTTCCTTCTCTAAAGTAGCCTCCTCCCTTTTTTATTACCTCCTGAGATTATGAGCCCTCCTGTAGCACAAGGTAGCAACTCCTGACCGTTCAGGCAGTCATAACTGTGTGCGTCTTGAAGGTGTATAAGGTGACCTTTGCCGTTTTCCTGCCATGGCCTAACGTAGTGACCCCTTTGGAAAGGGGCAGAGTTGGTGCTTTTTTTTAGAGCCGCGAGCTACCGAGAGTCTGAGTCTCTCTGACTAAGGAATTCTGCCGCCGGACGCAGAGCTTCCCGAATTTGGCTCACGAATTCTGGAAGGAATTATTTCCTTCGTCCTATATGCCTGTTCTGTTGGTGCTGCCGCAATTGCTTTTAATAACATCTTCCCACGATTTTGCTTCTTTAAAGGTCATAATGTCTTTTTTTCCGAAGACTCGATTTGCGACTTGGAACCCACCCACTCCCTCCGCTTTTTTCTTGGGGGGGGGGAAGCTTGTTTCTATTAGGGACTCAGACTTGGGGATTGTGGGATCCGGACCCCAAAATCTGCCAACCTCCCTACAACACGGACATTCACCCGAGAGAACACAGGCCAGGGATGGGGGGGGCTTCTCTTGCCCTCCCCCAGGGAGAACATCCCTTAGAGGCGGGTAGGAACTGCAGTTACAATCCCTCGATGCACCAAGATAAGCACTCTGTGTATGCTCAGAGACCCTGTTTCCCTTCCGAGGTTGTCTTGAGAAAAGGCACTCAGCGACTGGGGATCTGCAGGTCACTGCCCCTCGTCACTGCCCCCCAACCCGCTCAAAATGAGGCGGTCCGTGAACCGGGCATCTCTCTGCCTGGTTCCTCTTGCTCTCCTACCTGGGGCGGTGCCCGGCAGACATGGGTCCCGACTCTTCAACCTGCCCCCAACCCCCTTTGGACGGTGAAGCCTAAAGATGTCCAAACCACAACCCTCTCAGCACCTTGCACCGACCACCCCTCTTCCCCCCCAAACCCCAATTACCTGGCCATCTGGCGGGTACGTTGTCCATTGCAGGTCTGCCGTCTCTAACTTGGTGTTCATCAGGCTCTCTACAAGAGCAACACAGAAAAGAAGGGATGAGAAGGGAAAGGATGCCTTTGTGGACAGTATTGACTGAGGGTTGTGTGTGGTTGTTGTTTGTTTGTTTTTCCCTACCTCCCATGCTGCTTTTCGTAGGTTTGGCTGAGCTCAGGGCAGGGGTCCATCTATCTAGCACTAACCGCTCATTCTTCCCCACCTCTGATTTCAGAGAGAGCCCCCACCTCTCTGCTCTGCATCCTTTCCCCCCTCGCTTGAGTATGTTGGAAGTTGGTCAGTTTTGTGGCTTGTTTCCTGTTTGATCTATTTACAACCGCTAGTAAAGAAAACGGTTTTCCTTCTTTCTGCTGCTAAAGGCGATGGAGACTGTAAGTGCCAGTTGATGAGAAAAGGGATGTATGTATGTATGTATGTATGTATGTATGTATGTATGTATGTATGTATGTATGTATGTATGTATGTATGTATGTATGTATGTATGTAT